TTTACCTAGGCTTTCAAAAGCGCTTATTAGCTTTTTTCAGCTACCTGTGGTTACAGAGATGCTCACTCATTTTCGGTCACCCGATATGTGAATGTACTTGATGAGGTGTATCTCGATGTTCATTTGTCACACCATGGAACAGCTAATGTACCTGTTTAAAGATTTTCACTGGATAAATATTAATTAAAAGTCTTAATCATTATTATTCAAAAACATTTCTTCATTTTCTAATCATGTATTCTCTGTCGTCTATGAAGAAAGCATATTCTTCATCAAGTCCAGAGAAATTGACTGTTCTAAAGTTAGGAATCGCTTGGATTTCATAATCATTTTCTAATAGGTAATTCGATAGTCTAAAGTGATTTCTAATATTAAATTTGTTCACTCTTAGAATAATTTCACACTCTAATCAGTTAACTTTTAACCAGGAATCACTAGTTTGAAAGATCGGAAGGTTAATCGTTTTACCTTCGAAGATGACAAATTTGCTTGTCACGAATAATAAGAAGCTGTTTGGGATGAATATAAAGAACCATCTTGATTGAGCGATTAAAATGGAATCAATGCGGAAGTCGCTCCATCTAAAAGTAAAATGTTTGGCTTACGAATCAAGGCTCGAGCGATTGCAATTCTTTGCTTTTGACCTCCGCTCAAGAGCATTCCCCTTTCTCCGACAACAGTCTCGTACTTTTGGGGTAGATCACGAATGAAATCATGAATCTTTGCCTGTTTGGCAGCATCTTCGATCTCACTTTGAGAGATATGATATTCTAGAAAGTAGGTTATATTGTAAGCGATGGTACCACTGAAAAGTACAGGTTCTTGTCCAACAAAACCAATGTGACTTCGTAAATGAATTAAGAAATTAACCCAAATGCTTTACGCTCAAGCAAAACTTTCTGCTGGCCTCGTGTTCAAGATAATCGAAAGTCGATCAGCGATCAACAATTTATCACAAGATGGTCTGAGACTAATCAGGTGAAAGGAAACATTTACGATTTCTGAATAGAATTAATTTTTCGTTCTCTTTTCCACTTTGGTTAAATAGTAAAAACTAAACGTTTTTTCCTCATTTTAATTTTAGATTTTCGTTAATGAACCAGAGACGAAGAACAATATTGAGAGAAGAAAAAAACAGAACGAAAGTGGAAAAGAAAAAAAAGTGACATCTATTGTGAATTTAGAAAAGAAAAAAATTCTGTGCTCATGCACCTTGTGGATTTTGGATTTAGTTTCTTGTTTTCTCTTTCATTTGATTTCACTTGTTTTCATTTTCATTGTAATTTATTTGTTCACTTATTGAGTTTTGTTTCTTCTGAGATCATTTTGTGTATATAACTGTTTTCAATTTATCAACGGATAACATCATCATTATCATCATTAAATATGTTGGAATCATTGATACACTTGTGACTTTGTTTTGTTGAATGTTTTAAACATTAAAATAAACCATTGGTTCCGCCCCGACTCTCTCAATGTGTTTGTTATCTGCAATGAATTTCCTATTACTCTAATCTTATTTACTGTTGATGTTTCTAACATCAGCAATTGAGCTTCTCTCTTTCCAAGAGTCACAAAATAGATGAATTTTCTCTTATTTGGTGATCAATACCTGACAGTCCATCGACTGTGAATAGTGTTTATAGTTATTATATTTGACAATCGGACCACCTTCCTATGTTCAGTTGCTCAACCAATGCAACAATCTTGTTTTTGAATTGTGATAAATGTGGCGCAACGGTAAGCGCTTTCCTTGTCCTGATTGTCATAAAACATTCGCAACCCAAGTAGATCTTAAAGCACATCTAATGAGACATATCACCCAACATCCATATGTTTGTTTTGCTTGTGGTAAAGGTTTCAAATATGATCACACTTTGGACTTTCATATAAAAAGTCAACATGGTGCAGAGAATGGAGCCTCCAGTGGAGGTGCTGGCGGCAGTGGTAACAACAATATTGGATCTGGTAAAAATGAACAATTTAACTTGAAATCTTTGAATCGAAAAGCTGTAAGATTAAACGAGAAGTGCCCGATGATAAGGCAAGTTTATTTGGTACAAGTAACGTTGATGGCCGAAGACTAGTTTCGCAACTGCAAGGTGGTTTATCATCACCGCACGATTTGATCGTTAATAACCATAACAATGTTCCCTCTAACAACAATACAACCTCTTCCACGAGTGGAAAGGCTAATAGTTGTGATGATCGTCTAGTTGTCAATGAGATTTCCAGTGATCTGCGTCATCATTTATCTACTAATCCACTACAATTGACAGGTTTGAACTTATCCTCTGGTCCTGTTGGCCTTGGTCTTCTTGAACCAAGTATCTTGAATGGACTGAAATTTCCTATCGCTTTGAGTTCCTATCCATCTGCATCATCAAATTCATCTCAATCATCATCCAAGTCAAACAACAACACTGTACCAATTGTACCACCACCAATACTACCTTCATCCACAGTGTCATCATCACTTGCATCATCCACATTAACATCATCACTATTAACAACTACAACACCACCTTCACCCTCACCTCTTGTATCATCACTGGCACTATCATCATCATCATCTTCATCATCCACATCTTCAACACCAATATCTTCGACCAACAAAGAGAAACTAATGAATTCATCTCAAATGTCTTTGATTGATTTCGGTTTACAAGGCGATATCCTATCTCCATGAAATTTACAAATTAAATCAGAAAAGGTATTGATATCCATTCTCGAAGGTGTTCATCCAACGAATGAGCAATTGTATTCATTGTATAAATGTTGTTTATGTGGTTTCGCTTTTCCCAGCCTCGAACCTGTCAGTATTCATATTCAGTCAATGCATTCAAACAATTTAAATTTAACTTGTGATAAATGTGGCGCAACATTTAAATGGAAAAGTGAATTACAGTTACACGAACAATTGCATAAAGTGATGGATCAGTCTATCAATAGTATAAATCCAAGTTCAAACAAGTGCAAATCTCATCTACAATTACCACAAGATTCTCATCATTCTCACAGTAATCAACAGCATCAAAGAGAGCAACTCTTGCAACACCAACACCAACACCAACACCCCCAACATCAACATCAACATTACCACCAACAAAAACAACAAAAACAGCAACAACAACAACAATCACGTGCATTGGTTATGCCTTCATTTCTACAACCTAATTTAGTTTTCATGAATCCCTACTTGAGTGGGGATCAACAATTAATATCAAAGGAGGTGACGAAACGAAAAGAGCTAAAATAAAAATAGAATCAGAGGAAGAAATCAATGGACGAGAAGATGTTGGTCAAGGGTTGAATTTGTGTCTGAAACGTAAACACAAGTCAGAAATTTGTGATGCTAACAACAACAACAACAACAACAACCTTAACCACGACAATAATAATAATGATAACATTATCAAGCATAATTGCATAAACTTTGATAATGAAAATAACATAAATAATTGTAATGCTCATGATAATAATAATCATAGTAACAATACCAATAGTCGCGAGAGTCTCCTCAATGGTGATGGATGAGCCAATTGATTTAAAAGTTGAGTCATTGTTTGCTGATTCAAATAATAATATCAATAATATTACACCGATGAACCCACTAAGCTTTTTACATTCGTCTCTAATGCCGCCATCGGTTGGACTATCATTTCCACCGCCAACCGCATCACAATTAACATCAGCAGCAGCGGCAGCCGCAGCATTTGCTGCGGGCATCTCATCTCAACATCAATCTCAGAGTGAGAAAAACAAACAGTTACATCAACATTTTCAAAGTATTGCATCAATGGTGTCAGGAATATCCACCATGACAACGACGACCACTTCAGGACCTGCATCGACATCAGGACTTGGGACAGGTTCCGGCTCTGTTTCGTCGTCATCTTCTTCAGGCAGTATCAATGGAAATGGAAGTGGTTTTTTAAATGTTGGTGAAGTAGTAGGAGGAGGTGGAGGAAAAATTCGAGAACCTATCGGGGATATTGAAGAAACAGCCCCTGGTCAGTTCAAGTGTCGTTATTGTGAGAAAACATTTGATCGTATATTTTCAGTTCATCGCCATGAAAGAGTTCACAGGGTATAAACCGTGCATATGTAGGGTTTGTGGTCGAGGTTTCAGTGAGAAAAGAAACCTTCGACATCATATCATTCGATTCCATAGCGATGGAAGTGGCCGAGAACTTTTGAAAAGAGTTCGCAAAGAAAAGTCGATATCGGCCGCATCATTTCTAAAGAAAGCTGCTGTTCGTCTTCTCAGCAACTCAAGTTTAGAAGCGAGTGCAATCGGGGAAGAGGAAATTGACAAGAAGCAAAGTGATAAAAACAATAGTGCTCGTGATAACGAGGGTCGCCACGAAATGACCGAGACCAGAGAGGAGAAGCAATCTGATGAAAGGCCTCGGTCTCGGTCAGACGAGAGTACAAGTGCAAAAACAAGAAACAGAGAGAGTTGCAATAACTCTGATTATAACGAGATTGGATCAGATGCAAATGGAGAACCTTATGTCGAAGATGGTGACAAAATGTGTGCAGTTTTTTCATCTTCTTCATCGTCCTCATCTTCTCGTCGTAGAAAAAGCAAACCAAGTAAAAAAATAACTAATATAGAATCGACTGAGAGAAGTGATGAGGAGTCCGAATTATCTGAAAACATTGCAAGTCAATTTGTGAGAAAAGACGAAAATGATGAGAAGATGCAGATAAAATATGAAAATGAAGAGGAAGATGGAAATGAGTATGGGGCAGGGAGGGGAATAAAGACTCGTATGGAATAGACGACGAAGAGGAGGACGAAGAGGAAGAAGAAGAGGAAGAGGAAACCCGAGATAATGCGATGGTTGCTGATTATTGTGGTCAGGGTGATGATTCCAATGAACAGGGAGACACCGATGGTCGTGTCTGTACGGAAAGGAGAGGGACAACAGGACGGAAGATGAGAGAGTCAAGGATTGTGCTGATGAGACCAACAGTAACTGTAATAACAATGATCTCAATGGTTCTTTAGATGGAAATAAATGTTCCAAAGAAGGTAAATTGAGATCACATGGAGCTTTTCTCGAATTACAGTCCAAGGTAATTATGATTGTGTGTTGACCACGATGTCCATCGTTTTAATTTTGATCTGTTTGATCTGTTTGATTTCTTAAGACTTGCACTGGTTGACAAAGTATTAAAACGGAGTAAACAAAGTAAACCAATGATTGGACCCGATGGTAGATATTTATATCCATGTGATCACTGCCAAAAGACATTTTGTTCATCCTCTGATCTCAATCGACACATTGGATTCCATGAGAGTAAGGGTAATCTTGATGAATTACTTTTATACATACAATCTTCATTTCGTTTTTGATAATTTTTTTGTTCAATATCTTATTTCTTTATTTACTCATTAGATATTCGTCCATTTAAATGTGAATTCTGTGATTACCAAAGTCGCACAAACAGTCAACTTAAAGTTCATGTTATGAGACATGCTGGTGAGTTTTCAACTAAATTTCGTGATTAACTTGATTTAATGATGATAATTCCAATTTCAAACATCTCTTTCACTCTCTTATTTGCTCTCATTCTCTCTCAGATTTTTTCTGCTTTTCGCTTTATTTTGCTCACTTTAGACTATCATTAAATTTGTTGAATTATCAATGATCCATCGTATTAGGCATATTATTTCTCTTTCTTTCTGTAGGTTTTATTATTTTTAGATCGAATTGACTTCATTTACCTTTGGTCATTAGACCTTCTTTTATTTCTGGACAGTTTTACACATGAGCTGGACACTACCCACCATTTTGTTGAAAAATATCTTTTCCCAAAAATATTAGTTCCTCTTTTGTTCAGTTTTTCATTTCTCTTCCATCTACTTCTTCAATCGATTGATGTTAATCCAATGTCATCAGAAACTTACTTTGTATTTTATTTGGGTCAATCTCCATGCGTGAAACTGATTTCATCATGATCTTCATATAATTTTAGACTTGTTTTTCCTTCTATTCTTTCATCTTTCTGTTTTCAATCATCCTCTTTTCTCTTCATGTCCACCTCGTTCTCATTTTACACCAATCAAGTTCTTAACGTACATATCCATAACTCTAATTCTTATTGGCATGTTCTCCATGATACTTGTCGTGTTACTCTTATTATCTTTTGTCATTTTTATTCACTGATGAAATTAAACCGATATTCTTTTGTTTTACTTTCCGTCATTAACTAATGCACTTACACGAATCACGATGATTAAAAATTCACTTGATAATTCCACTGGTTAATTGAATACACTTGACTTTGCTTAATTACAATAATAGTTGCGATTACTATTTGGAATAAAATTGCAAAATAATGAAGAGAGGAGAAAATAGTTTTCAATATATTAAATGAATCGAGTGTTTGGTTAAGCTTTGTTTCTAATAATATTAATTCCTTTCGTTTTGTAACTGTATATTTAAAGATAAATTTATTCATTAAACTAATCAACCAAATCATCAATGTAATAGTTAAATATTTCAAGAAATTAGATAACCACTTGATATCGTTAATTGGATTTTCTTTGTTCTTTTCTAATAATTAGTATTAATTATTTCATCATTTAACTTCATTAAATTATTCTATGTCATACTTACATAAATAATAATGATTCACGTTAATGATCAGCAGAAATGACGACAATACAATTTGAAACATCTACTTAATACTTTATGCATCGATTATCAATATTAATACTTCTACGCTTTGATCTTTTATTGGTCAATTTTAAATATCATCGATTTGCTTGTAAATTATTCAATCACTTCTTCGTTACTCTCAATCTATTGAACAGTTGAAACACCAAAAGACTTCATGATTATTATTCATCTATTGTCACCCTGTTTCCATTGCTTACTCATTGTTAGCAAGTATTTACGGGAATTTAATTTAATAATAAATTATTATTGAATCAATTTATTGTTATCCATTTATAAGTTATTACCAAAATGTATAATTATATCAGTTCCTATTTATTTTTTTAACTTTATTTCGAGAGATTATTAGTGGTAAAAGCTTTGATTCGATTGAGCGAAGTTCATTTTGATCTTATAGACTTTATAATCAATCAGATTGACATTTTTTATGCATCTCTTTAGTTTCGAATATATAAACTTGATTGTAATATATTGAGTTGATTGAATTGAATTATCTGATTACATTGTAAACATTAGTTACATGGATCAGTGAGTAAAACTTGTTCATCTGTTGATCGATTTTGTTATTAAGCTCAATTGTTGGACACTTTCTTAATTTTGTTACCTTGACGATTAACTAATTATGTCTATATTTTTGTTGTTTAATCTTTCACAGGAATCAAACAATATCTATGTCATACCTGCAACTATAATGGAGTAACCCAATCTGATCTGAATCGTCATCGGAAAACTCAATCACACAAATCAAGAGTGGAACATTTGTTCAATATGTTCATTGGGATTTTCCACAGCGACATTACTTGAAGATCACATATTCAAGTTCCACGACAACAACAATAACAACAGCGAAAGCCATGGAAATAATGACAAACGAGGACTATCAGCAAGTCCAAAAGAATCCAAAAATGGATCGTGTTTATCATCTTCACCACTCAAACAACTTTATCCGTCTCGATAAAGATGGACCAACTGCATCGACATCGACATCGACATCGACAATGTCAATGTCATCAGCATCTTCACCAAGAAAAGCATCCAAAACAACAACTCCACCACCTGCAATGTCCGAACCCATGAAAACCGAAAAAGTCAATGAGATGGACAAGAACAACAATAATATCGACATGAATCACAATAATGTTCTAGGGCTTAATGCAAATAGATTTTCAGTTAATAACTTGTTGTAAGTGTTTGCCCGGAAGCAAAAGAACGAGATTATCTGACTGCGAACATTCTTTTGGTCAATCACCTGACTTGACAAACCTCCTCGATTGATGAGCATTTCATTGATTGCTCTTACCTGTTGATTGCTACCAGAGCATTTTATTAGTATTATTACCCGGTCTTCCTGTTTGATTGAATTCCCAAGTTTCAATTTTCCTGATCATCTCATCAATGTTATCACTTGTAATTCGAGGTGAAAGTAGTTGAATCTTTGTTAAATATTTCACAATTTTCTAGATACAATGTAATGTAGACTGAGCGAGCTTAGTGCTGAGCTACACTGAGAGTAGACTGGAATTGGCTCTGACAAGATTGAGCCAAGTTGCTTCATCTTTCGGATGTTTCCACAATCAAGCAAAATTATGATGATTCGAAACCAATGGCAATTGCATTCCACCAAATCAATTATTTCCAATAACTTAACGAAATGTGAACACAAAATGTGTATTCCTTGTATTCCTTGTATAACTTATTATCTCTTCTTTCATTTGATTGTTTCCACTTTTAAACCTTAACCATTTCCATTTCCATTTCCTTTTCTCGTTTCTATTTTTTTATGAAGGTACAATTTGCCCTAGACTATGTTCCTCATCTGTGAACATGGTGAATCTTGGTCATGATCCAATTAATTGCAATATTTATCGACACCATCAACACCCATTGAAACAGTTAACTGGAAAGTTATCAATGAACAAGAAATCAAATGAAATTAATACGAGCTTATGCCTTAAAATACTTGGTTGCTTTATGGCTTAAATTGATAACTTTTTTCTGTGATTGTACAAATTAAATCATTTATTAAACATTAAACTGTTGCAAAAATCAAATCGAGAAGTTGATCTTTCTTGTTTAATCAAACTGAGAAATTGGCGGAACCTAAAGAAAAAAGAAAAGATCTTCGGAATATCATGAAAACCAAGTTGTCCCATCGATCTGATCGGAGCTGTTCAACTCTACAAAAGTTTATCCAAAGAAGTCGAACCGTTCGAAATGTCCAACTTTCAGAAAGAACAAAATTGTCGAAGTTCTAAAGACTTGATGTGAAATCGCAACGAAAATGATTTTGTCTGGGAGAACATCAGACAATTGATTGTCCTTTGTGCTAATCGAGTGATTTGATTGATGCTCGTCTATTGAACTGATTGGTCAATAGAAAATCGGTTAATTTTAATCCGAAATGATTAGTAATTAATTCAAGTGAGTCTTGAGTCTGCACACTCGCAGTTGTTTCCCCACCAATGAAATCAATAAGAATTGTCCACGCCCATTAATGGCTACGTTTCCTGTTCCCTTACATCAATTGAGTCAATTGTTTACAATTATTCCAGTGGTTAGTTAGTCTTTGGTTCTCGTCCTTGATCGTCGTCCCCACTTTGTCCTCTGTTTGTGTCTCTTTCTCCTTGTCACCAATCGTAATCAATGGATCCTGATAATCCAGTCGCAGTCGATCAACTCACATGTATTGTTAGTCTTTCCGACGAAAAACCGCCTTTGCAACCAGATCTTAATTATTCAGCAAATGCGCTTGAAATGAAAGAATCTTTGACGTATTTCGAATACTGCAGACTCAAATTCGACGAGGATTTCGGCTATGCCAGTCCGAATCACGTCACTTATCAGGATGTCACAACCAATGTCTCTGAAAACGGACTAGAACCCAAAGAGAAACCTCGGTACAGAATCAGTACAGCCAATGAAGATTTTCAACTCTGTCCAAGTTATCCTCGTTTTTTAATCGTTCCCGCTGAGATAAGTGACGACGAACTCAAGATTGTGGCCAATTTCCGCTATCAATATCGACTGCCTGTCATCACTTGGAGATATTACAAAAACGGATGTGTTATTGCGAGAAGTAGTCAACCTTATGTAGGCCTATGGGGTTCACGCTCTGATACCGATGAGAAACTTATTCACCTGATTGCCACTAGTTCAATGGTTCTGAGTAGAGCGAAACACAAACCCACGCCCATTGAGCAAGATGAAAAATCAGATGAACAAGTCAACCAAGTAATCAAACAAGAGACTAATGAAGACAAAAATGAATCCAATCTATCAAAGAATGAGATTGACCCTATACAAAAACACATGATGGTTGTTGATTGTCGGTCTTACACTGTGGCCATGGTCAATCGAGCCAAAGGGGGTGGTTGTGAGTGCACCGAATATTATCCCTATTGTGACATTCAATTCATGGGACTAGCAAATATCCACAGTATTAGAAAAAGCTTTGACTCTTTACGTTATCTTCAAAATTGTGATATGTATTCAGACGCGTGAGTTGACACCAATTATTTGTCTCGTCTCAGTATTAATCTTATTGAATAATTTGTCTTTCAGTTGGGAGAGTCTCGTGAGTAGCTCCAAGTGGCTTCATTACATTTCTTGTCTACTTAAATCAGCTGTCACCATTTCAGAAGCCATTGAAGATGACCGTTCATGTTTGGTCCATTGTTCAGATGGATGGGATCGGACACCTCAACTTGTGTCTCTCGTTCAACTCATGCTTGATCCTTATTATCGTACTTATGATGGTTTCAGAGTTTTGGTTGAAAAAGAATGGATCGAGTTTGGCCACAAGTTCGCCGACAGGCACGGGGTCATGCCAGAAGACGATAATTCTTATGAAAAATGTCCAATCTTCCAACAGTGGCTTGACTGTGTTTACCAAATAGTTCTCCAACATAGTGAAGCATTTGAATTCAATGTTGTTTATCTCGTAAGTCTTTTGTTTTACCTACAAGCATATTCTCTGATTTCTATTCTCTCTCTCTCTCTCTAGCAATCGATATTGTATCATTCATACTCATCTCTTTTTGGAACCTTCATCGGTAACAGTTTAAACCATAAGACACAAAAAAACATTTTTACACAAACTTCTAGTCTCTGGCCTTTCCTCGAAAATGAGAAGCATTGTTACATCAACGATAACTACGTACCAAAAACCGGAAACAACAATGTAAGTATTTGAGGTGATGGCGTAAATGTTTTGTTTGATGACATTTTCTATTCAATTGTCTACATTTTGTTTATTTTTAGATTGTGACTCCCTCATCAGAGGTGGAAGATTTGCGGCTTTGGGTCGAAGTCTATCGTCCATCGAGCAATGATATGATCAGTCTTAGCGACATTCAATCATCCAAAATATAATTTTTCATCCAATTTTAATCATTTGAAATCGACGAGCAAATTAATGGCTGAATGGATTGGCTGCAAATGCCTTGATATCATTTTCGTTAATCGTTAATATTTTTCCATGGGATCTTCAACAGATGAGCTTTGGATTACCAAGAGTCTCCTGGAAACGAAATTTCTTTCATTTCTGTTGTCCGGGAAGGGTCAAATTTCTGTTAAATGTTCTCACGCAATTGAGACCAGTTGATCTTCTCTTATTTATCAAGCTTTTGGTTAATCATTGATGTCCATCAATTAGTCAACTTTATCTAACTCTATTCACTTAACCTTTTATTTTCACACTCACATAAACTCTTCGTTATCACATAATCATTGAACTTTTTTCTCTACCTTCCCTTTGACTGTGATTTTTGTATAAACTTATCGTAGATGCAAACCTTAAATTGAGTTTTTAATTCGAATCATCATTTGTTATCTGGAGCAATTGTCTCTTGAACTCTCACCTTTTTATCATATTCAACCTTCCATTCCTATGTAACCTGTTTCATAAGCTTTAGTTGGTTTGTTATATTTTATGCTTCCACTAAGAAATAAATTGATCATGAAAAGATTTGAATACAATGAGCATGTGAATCCATTTTGTAATGTGATCAACTATTTATCTTAATGGGAACATTTAAAGAATGAAATTCGAGTATCGGTTGATTGTGTAATTTAAATTCATTTATTTCAATTGGTATCAACAGATTAACTATCGAAAAGGTTTGATTGGCAGAAGAAAATGAACTCGCTTGATTTGATTAGAATTTCGATCAAAGGAAAAATGAGACAATTGAAGGCTTGATTTTCGTTCTCAATGATCGTTCATCGATCCAAATTGATTAGTAAAGAAAAAAAGAGAAAAGTAATATTACAATTGGATTGATAATAATGACAGTTGATTGGGTGAACAAAATTAACCCTCGAAAATGACCACAAAATGTAAGTTAATTGGTAATTGCAGCGACTAATTGTTATTATATTGATGCATATTAGTTTCTATTGGTATTGTTTGTATAATAGTATTTGTGTCCACCGGTCATATGTACATTCAGGTACTCCAAGTATTATGGCTCGAGTTTGGATCGTCTCAGACACTCAGTTGGAATAGCATAAGCAATGTCTTTGATATTGGCGACGTCCGCTCTCAGTTGTTCAAGTTCTTCGCGATAATTGGTCAACATGCCTGACAGGTCATCTCGCGACTTTCTCAACTCTTCTGTTCGATTGTTCAAATCAGCAGTCAGCAATTCCTTCTCGGCTTCCCGCAGTTTCACCTCCAATTCTTTCATGTTTCCACCGTCGACAGAGTCCAAACCCTCCAGAGTTTTTATTATTGAATCAACAGTTTGCAGTGCACCAGACACTTTGCTTTTCGCCTCGATGGCACTAGTCTTGGCTTGGTTAGCTCTTTCTAAAGCTTCTAAAGCCAATTTCTCGTCGTTGACAGTCTGTTCACCATATGAGTTGAGTCGACCTTCGGTATCGGCTAGAGCCCTGTTCAATGATTCCACCTCGTCTTTCATTCTTCCCGCTCTCTCCTTTGTTTTACCTGCTTCCCCACGAATCGCATTTGCATCAGCGGAAGCATTACCAGCGATGTAACGAGCCTCGGTTGCAATACTCTGAGCGTTTATCGCGTCATTGTAAGCCCCAGTGAGAGCATCAAAAGCCTCCTGTGTCTTGGCTTTGCCTTCGTTCAAAAGCTTTTCCACCTGTGGTACTCGCTTCAGTGCTTCATCTGCTCGTCCTTGACTTTCTTTCACTGACTTATCGAACCCTCGAAGTGTCATCAAAGTTCCAGTGGCTTCCGTCAAAGTGGAATTGGCTGCCTGAGCTGCTTTCTCTGCAGTTTTATGAGCTTTGTCCACTTCGCTCAACAACTCGGAAGCTTTGTTCTGTTGCCTGGTTGCCTCTTTCAGAAGAGATCGAACATCCTCCATTTGGATCTGTGTTCCATTCAGTACATTCTCGTATCGTGACATCATCGCATCCGCTTCTCTCATGATACGAGCCGCCTGATCGACCAACTCTCTGGCATCTTGTTTCATGCCCGAGGCGTTCACATTTGGAATACTCAATGAGCCCGCTTCGGTCAACAATTGTAGCGCATCTTTGGCAGCTCGATCAGCTTCTTTCTTTGCTTCTTCTGCCATTTTCCTTGTTCGTTCCAATAAATCGTTGATATCGATCAATTGTTTCTGAATGGCCCGAATCTCTTCACGATTACTCGAATGCATCACCATGGCTTCTTTCACCAATCGAGACGCTTCTTCTGAGTTGTTCAAAGCTTCTTTCGCCAACTTTTCCACCTTTTCAGCTTCTTTTTCAATCTTATCTGCTAGAGCAACCGATTCCAATGATATTCTGGACATTCGTTCAGACTGCTGTCCGTACCTTTTGAACCTTTCGCGAGCATGTTCCAAGGCAGTTCTTCCTTCATGATCGAATGTCTTTTTAGCTTCAGATAATATTAAATTGGCTTTTTCAATTATATCTTCTGCTAAACTCATGTTTTGCTTTCCAAAATTGACCAAGTTGTTCAACCCTTCCATCCGACCGTCAACCAACGAGGTCAATTCTTTGACTCGGGCTAAACGGTTCTTTAAAGTGGTCAAAGAATTGACAAGGTTTCGACCATCTGAGCCCATTCGACGAGCATCCGATACCAGTGCCTCAGTGCGAGCGATCAATTCTTCCAATTGTGTTTCGAACTTTTGATCTTCCACTTCCACAGGGCTGTTTTGTATCTCCTCCAGTAATAATCGCAACTGGTTCAGTTTACCTCGGTGCCCATTCACAGAGTCCTGGATTAGTCCGTAGCAAGCTGGACAGTCTATACAACCAGCAGTTCGGTTGAACTTGTTTTCACGACACCGCTCACATCGACGGCCTTCCACGTTTGCCAAACACTCACATTGACCATTATCGCGACACTGCAGAGATTTGGATCCAATTCGATCACAGTCACACTTTGCACATCCCTTCTCAGAGAAACCATAATGATAAGGTGCACATTGGTCACACTTAGTTCCAATGACCCCAGGTCGACAGTAGCATTTGCCGGTGAACTGATCGCAGGTCAGATTATGTGATCCAAACATATTACAACCACAGGATTGGCAACCATTCTCACCACTGATATCCCAATAGCCTTGTATGCACTGGTCACACTTTCGTCCCATCACATAGTTTTTACACTCGCAGTGTCCACTGCGAGAGTCACAAAGAGCCAATTCTTTTCCATCTTCTCCCTTGCCCATCACTGTTCCAGTTCTATGGCAACCACAAGATTTACAATCTCCCTTAGGGTAACTCAGAGCATCACCAAAGAAACCGGGAAGACATTTCTCACATCGATCCTAATGGGAAGTGAAAAGAAAACAAATTCATCAATAAAGTGATTCCATTCGAAACTCATTCACTTCGACTCTTACCCCGGCAGTGTTGTAAATGCATTTCAAACACTTTCCCGTTTCATGGTCACAACTTCCGACAGAGTTTTCGTCAATGTTCCCACTGCAATCGCATTTCCTGCAAGAACTGTTTGCTATCGGGTTACCAAAATAACCATCGATACAAGACTCACAGAGGGCTCCTGATTACAAAGATCGAGAAACAAACAATTAGTTTAAACCCAGTGAATAGCGACCTAGATTATCATTAGCACATGCAACCTAACGTCGAGTTAGTCATCCTTGAGAAAGAGTTTCTCATGTTAGCAAATCTTTCACTCTCTTCTTAGTTGCTGATGATTTTAATCATCCATGCAAATACTTATCCATGAATCAATTAACTGTCTCAATTCAGCTCATCACTGATCATTACCTCCGTAACCTTGAGGACACTCCAAACAAGCTATACTTTCATCAGGTAAGACAACACAAGCTCCCGCATTACGGTGACAGGGACAAGAAGTACATCCAGTCCCGTCTAATGGATTACCGTAATAGCCTCGAGCACAAGTCTCACAATTATCACCACCGGTGTTGTTTGTACACATACATTTTCCTTTACAAATTAACCATCACCATGAATTAATTAGAAACCACCACCAATATCAAGTTAAGTTTGGTTAGAGATTGCAAATGGGAAGTGGGAGTGGGAGTGGAAGGGGAATAGGAATAGGAGGAAGAAAAGAAAGTAAGAAAATTGATTGTTAAAGTTACCGTCACCAAAGACCAGAATCAGTATCAAACCGGTGATTTTCCTTCACCTTGTTCACTCTCTTTACCTGTATATGGATCACAAAAGTCAGCGTAGCCATTACATTGACAAGGTAGACAAACCGCGAAACTTCCCCCGCCCGGTGGTTCGTGTCGATATCCCGTCTTACATGACTCACAAAACTGTCCATCATAACCTGCTGGACACTCACATCGCTCGACCCAACTTGCTGCTCGACCATATGCACCCCGTTGGGCAGATTCCAGGGCTATTTCATCAACATAACCTGACCCATCTCTATTGTACACAATGCGAATCTTGATGGACGTTAAATTGGCCAAAACACTTATGAAATCTTTCCCAGACAGCCTCGGACTCCAGCCGAATCGAGCGTCTTCGTGAAGTCTAAACGAGTAAGAACGTTGGTTTCGACTTGGAAGACTATTGTCTTGACCGTGTATTGGTTGAGCAAGGGTCAATCCAGCGCCTTCAATAATGACATCGGCAAATTGTGAGGCTGGAGAATCGTCGTTCACTCTTAAATTGAATCTCAAGTGTTGATTGTAAGAGAAACGCTGATCCCCAAGGAAAGATGGAGGAGCAACCAAATAAACCGCGTCCAATCCATAACTTGCTTGAGAGCCGATACTATGATCTGATGTATTGTGTACGAGTGCAACAGAACGACCCATTCTATCAATCGCCGTCCATTTCTCGGTATCTTTGTAGAAATAAGATTCAATTGCATGGGCAGTGTAATCTTCCGCCGATTCGCAAACAGATGAGTGGCCGTAACAAAAGCAAGATAAACATCCAAATTCGTTGGTTCCTTGCAAATCGAAGTAACCAGGCTTACACTTTTCACAAGTTCTTCCTTCCACATTCTGTTTACATAAACATTCCCCAGAGACAGGGTGACATCGAGCGGTGTTGTTGAAACTTCCTTGTACAAAGCAGTCGCAGGGTCTGACGGGCAAATAAAAGGTTAGTTAAATATCTTGGGAAAATGATCCACTAGAAATACTCACTTGCAACCCTGGGCCGAAAAGTCGTAATAGTTATCAGCACAACGATCGCATTTTTCCCCAGAAACTCCTGGTCTACAGATACATTGACCATCTCGACTGCACTGCGATGTCACGGACCCTTAACGAATGAAAATGCCAATAAAACAATCGAATCCATATAAATACTATTTCATTGACTTACCTGTTGGATCGCAGTCACAGGTAACACATCGTCCCAGATTATTTTCGTAAAAACCTTCCTTGCATCTTTCACAGTTTGGTCCATCGGTGTTGTCGGCACAGTCAACATCGACCTCCGTGTCCAGTTTCAGCCCACAAATCAGCATCGTAAACGCATTTCGAGGCTTTATTGTTACAATTACAAACTGAAATATAAAACACAAGTTAGAAGAGAAAACAGAGAAAGGGGAACAATTAAAGAAACTAAATGGTATTACATTCCCAGACTGACTTCTTAGTGTTCCACACTTCAAGTTGCACGCACTCAACAAGTACGGCGCTTGACGCAAAAATAAATATCAAGGAAAGTATCGTTTGCATGGTAGAAACTCAGATGTTCCTCTTATCACTTATTCAGTGTAGTTGGGGCACAGTAATACAAAATTGAAGCGATTCTCGGACCATTTACAGGTCAAATAATCATGTTACACTTGATGCGACGATGATCGTTACTCTAGGCGCCCTTAGTCAACAGATTCTTAACTTTATTTGGTCACTGGACTACAAGTCAAACGATTGTGAATAGCAAAGCAACAAAAACTGGATTTCATGTTAGTTTTGTCTCTTCTATTAACGGAGAAAAGGTATAACCTGTACCGCAACTTTTACTGACAAAAGTGCGTAGGCATCAATTCAGCCCACTTTAGTTGTCTTATCTCGATACCAAAACAACAACAGGTATCATGATATTTTCTACTTACGTTGACATTCGTGTGCGTCCTCAAAAGTAGCAACTTCATATTTCTGATCGTTATACAGATCGTGACAACGTTCACAATTGACTCCAGTCGTGTTGTGTTCACAAATACACATCAATTGGCTGTAGGGATCATTTATATCAGAGGTTCTGCAGTCACTCGCATGTCCATTACATTTGCATCTACAGGTCGAGAAAAAGGTCGAGAAAAAGGTCGATGAGAATGGAATCAATGATATTAATCAGATATTCGCTCGCTCAACAGATGAGTAGATTCCTGGTATCACTTCATATTCATTTGTTACATTTTAACTGTAATTTTCAAGGTCACTAATCATGTTCACTAGTTTGAAGATAAAGCGAGAGAGAACAGCTCATCTTTGCCTCGTCATCTTCTCATCTTCTCATCAACATCAATAGACAAGTCAACGAATTTGATTCGCAATCAGAAATTCTCAGATAAACATTGAAATCAGCTTTTTCTCTCATTAAACTGTAAAATTTTCTGTCTTAAAGGCGTCAGTTGAGACTATTTTTGGAACCAACCAATAGATCAACACCCATAACTATTTAAGTCTCGATAGTTTTCGATAAAATGGTTATCCAGAGGGAGAAAGAAGAGGAAAGTAGGATGGGTGAGTAGTTTAAGAAAAAACAGATAACTTTTAGAGAAAAATGCGTTTGAGATGATCTTTGTTTCTCTCTTTCCTCTTTAACTACTAACTGATCACTCCCTTTGCCAGAGATCACTGTGTCTTCTTTCATTCTTCATCATCACAACCACTGCTCTCGAATCATCACCAATATCTATCAAAGTCCACAAGAGAGTAAGAGCAAAAGAGTGCGAGAGAGAGAAAACAGGAGAGAAAGAGAGCGAGGGCGAGAAAGACAATGGTAATGTTTCGGTTATCCTTTTGGTTCATGTGTTTCAATCTCTTCGACTCTTTAATCGGTCTACTAATCCATCTTTATCTCATCTCCATGACTTGATCTTTGCAGGATGAAAAAGAAAGAAGGAAAGCTGAAGTGCGAGCTCGTCTCGAAGCTCAAGCTCGAAAGAAACGCGGTTTCATGACCCCCGAAAGGAAAAAGCGACTGAGGGTAAGTAAACATTGACACTTTCACTTGAATCTTGAACTAGAGTTAAATTACTGTTGAAAGTTTTTTCTTATTCCACTTGTAACCCAAACAACGTCTTCAGAATTTACTTCGACGTAAGGCAGCGGAAGCGCTGAAAAGGGAGCAAGAAAGAAAAGCTGAAGAGAGACGAAGGATCATCCGAGAACGCACTGGAGCCCAGAAAAATTTCGATTCGGTCAACGAAGGTAATTAGTGTTACACTTTGCGATTTACGAGCTTTCCTCATTTCTGTTTGATTCTCAATCTCAAGCTAATCTTCAATCAATCGTGAAAGATTATTATAAAAGAATTCAGGACTTGGAAAGTAAAAAGTGGGACTTGGAAAGGGCCACTCGAGTGAAAGAAATCGAGGTTAGTAGTGAGATTGAACAATAACCATTAATCGATTGGCTCTTTTTCCAATTGTTCATCATTGTTTTCAGCTTAAAGAAATGCAGGAAAAAGTAAACGATCTGAAGGGCAAATTGTAAGTATTCACACAAAATCTCAATTCTGTTGCTTTTCTTTTCTTTTCAATGTCTGTGTCTTTCACTTGGTCAGTGTCATTCCTCCGTTGAAAAAAGTGTCGAAAACTGCGAATCAGTAAGTTAAACTGTCACACAATTGTCTCCACTCGATGCAACCATTAAAGATCTTAATCTTGACTTCGTTTTCTTATTCTTAGATTAGAGAAAATTCGTATGTTTACTGCTCGAGTTTCTCAGATGGATTATCGTAATCAATTGAAACAAGTTCAGAAAAATGATTATCGTCTCGAGGATAACGACGAGGTCGCCAGCAAGACATGCAAACCTGAATGGGCTCAACCCAAAAGCAAAACAACATCGGTATCTGAGGCCATTTCTGAGGCTGTTTCTGAGGCCGAGCAAGATGATTACTAAGTTTTCAACAAGACTGGACATTACGCACTAAGTGTATCTCGCTGCAATCTCGCAACGAAAACAATCATTGTAATCAACATGATAAAATATTGATTAGTTAATAAACAGATTGTTTCGTCCAATCATTGATTACGTTTCTATTTGATTGATTGATTGATTGAATTGATGAGACTTACCTTCCACCAACCGACAGGTCAGAAATTGCATAGTAATACGTTTTAAGTACTTGTGGGTCTCGAAAAACTTCATCACCAAACGTATTATGTCTCACCATGACAACTTTTATATCGGTGGCAGCGACGAATTTCTGTTGGGAGGAAGCGATCGAAAATTGAGCGATAAACAGCATCGAAGAAATTACTGTTATGTTCTAAAGTTTTTTACCTGCAATTCCAAGTTTTGATCGAATCTTTTATGACTTGGCCTGAGCTCTAGAGTGCTGAAAATAATATTCCCACCAGTGAGAGGAGAAATGTCCGAGAATTCTTTGGAGCACAAAACTTTGTCCGGCTGAGAATCGGGGACTTCTCTCGATTCACTGACATTGAATGTATCCAAACAGTTTCCACTGAAATACTGGAAAGGCACCCAATCGCTTTTCTCGTCCTCTCTTTTGTAAATAGCCAGACTTTCAGGTCGAGGGGAATTGAACAACAGTCGAATATATGTAACATCATAAGATTTACCTGTTTTCGACCAATTAGATTACGATGGTCCATTAATCTCTCTCGTTGATTAATAATCAATTTAGTGAATTGAACGTGGACTCACCCAAATGAAGTGTAATATTAACTGTTTTCGGGAACTCGATCCCATCGTACATGGTTTCACTTTGCCACCAGGTCTGAGTTGCATTATCGTGAAAATCATTGATGAAGTTTACAGGGTGATCACCTCGACGACACTTACCATCACAGGTTCTCTGGTTTCTGTCCTCTCGATTAGGTGTTTGAACACAATAATAAGTAATGTAAGGATGCTTTTCACCACATGTATTTGTAGCTTCAACGGGCCTTAGGTAGGCAGCGTTTTCAAACGGAGGAACACAGCGCCGAGCCTTACCCTGTTCATCGTAACAAGACCTTTGAGCGGCATTGGACGAGGGGAACGGGTTAAGTGGATCGGTAAAGGCGAAAGACGAGCCTGATAAGGAGGCCGAT